AGATGCTAGCAGAGGGTTTCTCCACTTCTTGGTGGAAAGGCAATATGGTCACAGAGCCAGAAAGGTCAGATGACATCACAAATTACATAGTGTCAGCCATGGTGCAGGCTTGTGGCTTGTCATAGTGTACAGGTACTGCAGGTACTGCTGCACCTCTACTGTGGAGTGCCTTTATGACAGAGTAACTGTGTTTTCACCACACCCCAGGAACCACTCATGCTAGCTGACAGTGGGATCTGGGTGGCGGAAGCGAAGGACACATTGAATCTCTAGCAAAGAGACTGCTTTGTATCTTGCCTTTGCTCTGCATTTAGTTAACCTCCCCAGTATCTTTTAAGCAAACTCCATCTAGGACGTTGCTGCTGGATAAGGAGCATGGGCTCGGTTCTGAGCAGCACCGTATCCTTCTTTATGGGAAGTAGAAGTTGAGAGGTAGGGCACACAGATGCACAGCTCCACTGCTTTCAGGTGGGCTCTGGCTGCTGGGTATCACTGTGGTTCAGGGTAGACAGACCAGGGGCCCACATCTGCCAGCTCGTCCTTGTTGACTGCAGGCCTGCAGCCCAGCTGCTCACTGAAGTCTCTGAAAACACCATCACAGTTAACATCATCTACACCCTTTGGGATCTGTTACCATAATGCAGCAGGGAGCTCATTGCCTTCAGAGTTAATAACAGAGGCTAAGTCTTCAGTTAAATCAGAGAAAATGACAGTTCGACACACCAGATGATTAGCTCTTAAGCAACTCCTTTATCAGGTCAGAGCACTACATACACAGTAGCCAGTTAATCCTAAAACAACTCAGGCAGAGCAGAGTTTTACACCAGATAAAACAAAAATTAAGTGTACATAGACTCATCTCATGCCCTGTTAGGAGTAGTAGACTTGGAACAAGCAGTGGATGACTTCCACATTAATACATCAGCTGAGACAGTACTGCTTGGGTCATCTTCTGTAGAGAATGTAGAGAAGTCATAAAAGGGGGGGTGAGCAAATCTCAGACCCAGAAGTTCATGGATAAAGTTTACAAAGTGCAAATAAAAATCTATAGCTGAACATTACCATTTAGGCATTTGAATGAAAACTATTAAAACTGTGATCTAAGATGAGTTGTTCAGAGTTAGTAAGGTACCAAAGTTTGCCCACACCTCTTACCAGGGGTTTGATTTCATTCCTTTGCTCTGTGATGTCATGTAAAAGAATCCAGCTCACCACCTGCGATACGGAGATGTTCTGTGAAACATTATGCAATAGGTCAGAGTATTTGATGTATTTTGGGACATAACCCCACCATAAAGCACAATACAAACAACCAGATCTCTCACTGTGTTCGTAACCTCAAGGAATAAACAACAGTAGATCTGGAAATAAGAATTGCTATTTACCTTATTTTTGTTAAATTTAATTTTGTTAAATTTAAATTTTTGTTAAATAAAACATATTTTGGAACTTTTTGGTCCTGTGATCAAAAAGGTAACTCTGGGAGGAGTTCTCTGGTGACAACAGATGGCAGCAGAGTTGTACTCAAACAGTGAATTTGCAGGGGGGAAGATTCAAGAGCATTTACTGTGAAGCCAAAAAAATGCTGCTGTGGACTTAAATACAAGTCTCAAAACTGCTATGCCTTGGAGACACTTTGGCTTCTTCACCAGCTCATTTTTCAGCATTAACATGTTCTGCTCTTAGAGCACTGTTCCTGCACATGCCCTGCAGAACCAGTCCTAACTGGCTAGGTTGCAGAGCTCCTAGCTTGTATATACGTCCTGTTCTTCTTTCCTTTTCTTGAAGAGCCTGATCAGGTAGATGGTTACAAGCATTCTTTCTGATGTTTTCATTAATTCAGTTCTGAGGTGTCAGGGAGTCCCTGTGTACTTTATTGGGAGACTGGCATCTAAAATCAGGGCCAACAGTGTTGTATGAGGAGGCAGATGTCCTGTGGACATCCAGGCATTCTTTTCATCCACACATGAGAGCAAAACGGCCACTTAATACAGGTCAGTAGCTGTGCAGTTCCACTTTTACTTGCAAACCTGCAGTAGTTGTGAGCATAGCTTTGATGCTTCTCCACACAACATTCTCTGTTTCTACTGTTGTCCAGAAGTACTATAGGTTTGTGCCGGCCTGTAGATGCAAAGAGCAAGAAATCAAACACATCTGTAGATACCATGGCAGGCAAGCAGAGGAAAGAGAGCTGGAGTCCTCTGAAGAAGAGGTAAGTAAGTAGGTGGTTCTGATTAAAGTTTATTTCTTCCCTTGCCCTGGGACAACTGTTATCCATCTAGTGTCTGTGACACTTGCTTACACTAATGTGTGTGGTTTGACATGTGCACAGGAACATATGGACTGATCTGAGCCTTCTGTTGCAGGGGGCAAGCAGAGTAACCTCTAACAGCACCAATCAGTGTCAGATCAGTCCTTTTGTGGAGAGGAAATTTCATGGACATAAAAGTGCCTCCTCTCTCAGGGACTGAATTTGCCTGTTGTGCTGCATCATTAGGTAACAGTATCTTTTTCTTTTCAGAGAACTGAAGCCTCTGTAACAGCCAGTCAAGCTCAAACTTGCCAGCAATGTGTAAGTTTATAGAATACTTTGGTTTTCAATTAAGATATAGCATTTCTTTATGGTTTTGCACCAAGCTGGTAAAACTTTGTGATCAGGTGTGGGTACTTGGTGATGGCACAGATTAAGCAGTGGTGCATTCCCAATCCTAATGCATGTATAGTTGAGCAACAGAATGGGCACACAGAGGCTTGCACAGTTATTTGTAAAGCAGATTGTGGCATTCTGGCACATAAACAGTTAAGAGTGTACTTCATATTTTTGACTGGTACAGAATGTCAAACATTGTGATTAGTCTTTAGGCTCTTGTGAATTCATTATCAACAATAATCCAGCAGTTCTTCAGTCTCACTTCATTTGTGCTCGTGCCACACTGCCAGTGCTGAGGAGAGGCACGCAGCACTTCCTCAGCCAGCTATGCTTGGCCCTCAGACAGCCTCTCTGAGCACTCCTCTTCCTCAAGGAGAGGAAAACTGGTTTTACTTTTCAAGGCCTAACACCTCACCAACTGAATTTTGGGAACTTCTAAGCCACAAAAGATGAGAAACATGGAACCTGTACCACAGTACAAATTAATGTGAGCACCTTTCTTGTGCAGGTGTTTTCCACTTCCATGTTCAGTGTGGTGTGGATTGGTAACTCTCATTTTTTTGAGGCAGAGATTACAGCACGTTAACTACTTCCATTGATTTTTTATTAGGTGAAATACTTTTGAGTATAGCACTTCATGTTTTTTTGTATTGATAAACATTTTACAGTTTTTTCCATGTTGCCTGTATATTTTGAAAGATCTTAGTACATTTATATAGCAGCTGAAGAGTCCTTTTTTTACCCAAATAAAAAATTTTCATCATTGTCCAAAATCTGAGATTACTAAATAGTAATGAATTTTTTTTCCCCTCCTAAAGGCCAGACAAGCTTCCAAAGACATCTACATTGAAGTGTCTCCTGGCACCTATTCTGTCACAGCAACCTCAGGGGACATGGTGCAACAAACCCACGTAGTGAATGTCAGCGCAGGACAAAGTATTGATTTAACTTTTGTTCTATGATGTTTGTTGTTTCTTGGCAACCACAGGAATAAAACACAAGGCTGTTTTAATGCATGTAATGAACTATGTATACCTTTTTCTTGTCAGCACTTTAATAATATCCTCTCCAGGACTTCATTTTGAATGGCCTCTGTATTTGTTTTCTAATTAATGCAATTATATGCAGCCCACTTTGTACACCAATTTTATAAATATTTGTACATTGTGTGCCTTAAATCCGATTATGTGACTGTGTAATTCCAGGTTCTTATGCTTCAAACAAAGATACAATCAGTGGAATAAAATACATAATTTAGTCTTTGTGGTGACAATTTTTTATATTTTCCTCAGATAGAACACCCATGTCACATTTGTGACCACAGAGAGCCTGATCCGTGTGGTATGAGTATGGATGTACATTACCTGCTGTGGCCTGGCACTGATATTAGAGCAGCTGCCTCACAAGGCATCTCTCCTCCCTGTACTTTATTATTCTGATAAAGAAATAAAATGCAAATCAAATTCACCAAGACCCCAACACAGGAAGGCGCTTGAAGGTGTGTCACATGTTCAGCATAGGCACAACAACTACTGACACTTCAAGTCCTGTCTGTTTGCAGACTCCAGCCTAAGCTAAACAAACACCAGCTAGCTGCCTTTTTCAGTAGCCAATAGTGTATCCCTCAACTGGCTCCTGGCTCCTGCAGGGCAAGAGTACTGCTGAGCAACTGCACGCTGTGGCTAAGTTCGTAGGCTTTAAACACGAGCAGTCTCACCAACAAAACTCCTTGGATGCTTAACTCCCCCAATGGATCAGATTCCACAGTTAGAATTAGTGACATGTCCTATGTATGTAATCTTTTTGTAGCTGATGGTACTAAGGTTTCAGTTAATTTTCATGGGAATGTGACATTCAGCGATTTGAATGCTGGATCTCTAAGCATTTTATTTCCATCTACAGTAGCAGGTCCTTTACCCTCTGGCTACTTTGTCTTCTGCTTAAATCCTGGAAAAAAATATTTTCAGCTGTCAACTTGCATTGTTCCTCCATTCCGTCTGGCTTTCTACAGAAATAAATTGCTGTGCTGAATTCCTCTGGCTGACTCAAGAGAAGTGTAGACAAATTGGAGGTTTGTTAGACCCTTGCTGTGCATCTGTTCAGACTTTTAGTGCTCATACTAGTTTACTTATCTCTCCAGAACAGTAAAGTCAAGTACAAATATTTAGGAATTTAATATAACACCTTGGAGTAAAGAACAAGGATGCTTAAATTTGATGTGAGTAGAAATAGCATTTCTTAGTTATTAAAATTATAGAGCTATCCATAAAGATATTCTACAGAGACAGTACTTAAATCAGAACTTTATTTGCTTAAGAAATGTAACACCAATACAGTATAAGCACCTTACCTGAAATTTCAGCTCCTGAACTTCATCAGTTGCAGATTTATTAAATTCTGGTTTAGCATGTCTCTCTGCTTTGTTGCAAGTGATGTCTTTGTGTTTTCTGTCTGTCCTAACATGAGCTGTATCATCAAACTTGTCATCTCCTGCGCAGGTCACTTTACATTTATCATCTGACTCCTTTTTCTTTCTTGGTGTTTTATATCTTTGTTTTTCTGATGCTGCAAAACCTTCTTCCTGGAGGACAGAAAACAAATCCCTTGGAAGTCTACTAAAAAAAAAAAAAGCCTCAGTGTCCTTGTAACTGCTGCTTTCCTGTCTGTAAGAGGGGTACCTCTGCCTCACGGAGCTCTAATAATGCTATAATTTCTGTGCTAGTATGAACTTTACTGCTGGATCACAGAAGTATGCAGTAAGACCAAAGGACAGTTAGACTTTGAACAAAAAAACTTTGCTTCTTTAGAAGTTAGAGGGATTTTTGGTGACTGCAGCAGGACATTAGCCCTACAGAGATCACCTGGGGGAAGCCTGCTCTCTGGCTTCCCTTGTTTGTTGTAAGTTACTTTTGATGCAGTCTGCATTGCATGATAAAACTGCTTCAGCTCCCTCAAGGATTAGCAATGTATCTTCTGGGTTTAAAAACACCAAGGGCTATTCTACAGGAATAAAAGTGTGTCATTCTACTCTGTATTACCACACCAGATCCACTGCTGTGGTTCATGCTGCCAGTTTGGGACTAGAATGAAACCACCTCAGTTTCTTTTTAGTTTTACCAAAAAGCAAAGCATGGCACTTCAGCACACTGCTGTGACACTTGCTTACAGAGAACGTGTGCCTGGAGCTCCATACTGGCCAAAAAAAACTCTAGGAAATCAATTCCATAGGTGTGTCATTATGATCATTTAAATAATAATGTAGCAATGATACAGTTAACAGGTTGGCAGGCATCTGCTTAAAATTAATGCATATAAGTGTGAGAAGCAAGATATATTCCAGTACATTAGCTGTTCACTAAGACACATCATTAACAGAAAATCATGCAAGTTTAGTATGTTCAAAGTTTTCCTTGGCAGTCAGCTCACAGCAGCAAGAGCATGAAGATACAGAGGAGCCAGTACCTGATTTCTGCTGATCCACAATTGTACCCCTGATGCTCTTGTGCAGGGCAGTATTTATGTTCATCCTGCCATTCTCTTTCCTCTTCTTCCTGCAAGCTTTTTTCTGCCTCTTTTCTGTGCTTGCCTTTTTTGGCATTCATGTTCCAATTTTTTTTTTTCCAAGTTTTTCTAAAGCATGAGGGGACCATGGCCAATAGAAAACAGGCCTAAAAATTAGGATGTTTTGCTTGTTCCTAGCTGAGACACAGCTTGCTTGCTCTGTATCCCCTAGCTTCAGGACAGGGCTCTGCTCTTAAAACTGCTTGCTTCTTGTGAGGGAGTAAGAGAAGACAGTACAGACTGCTTACTAAAATATCTGCTTTTATCTTTCAGAGACAGAGATTATGACTATTGGGGTTTGACTGGCAGAGCCCAGCACCCTTCCAGACTGAATCTCTTCTTGTGTTTTATTGCTGCTGACAGTCACATCTGTCCATTTCCTGGGCCACTCACATAGGTCCCTACCTCCATAGGACTTCAGTGGTTTGATCTCAATGGGTGTTCGGCAGGTTTCTGAAGTAAAACCTGAGCTATTGAATGCTCACACTGCTGCTGCCATAATCTACCATTATACCAAGCAGCTTCAGTCCTTCCTTAGGATTTGGGGATTTTTTTTTTTTTTTGTTCTAATTAGTGGGGAAGTTTCCTGCCCATCTCAAAACTGGTGGATGGCTTTAGCAAGCAGTTAAATTAAAAACAATGTGTTCTTCTAGCTAACTGCTAGTTCATTAGACAAGAATATTTCTTCTACTCAAACAGATCACAGCTTACATAAATACAGCATTAATACAGATTACCTTACCCTCAGTGACAGCTTGAGATCTTCATCTCTTACAACTTCCTCCTTTGTGAGTTGCCCTCTGGGAGACTGCTCGATAGTTTCAAACATTGCACTCTGGTCAGTTGGGGCAACAGGGGACACGTCCCCAGTGGGGATGGCTTTGGATTCCATCTTACCCTTTGTACACGTGCTGCTGTGGCTGCCAAGTCCTAGGAAGAAGTAAAATTGTGTCCAAGAGTGAAACCAGAATGGAAATGGAGGAACATTCATTTCAGAAGGGAGGAAAAAGCACTTTCAGCCTCAAAGAAATCCTTTCAGGTTATTATGCATACACTAGCTATGAATATTAATGGAGATGTTAGCAGCATAAAAAGTGTAGGAAAATTATGGGGAACAAACTCGGAGAGGGGTATCTGTGCTCCAAAATGACATTCATTGTTCTGGTAGTTTTCCATTGGATGAGATGCCAAAAGAAGAGCTAGCACACAAGGTAAGGGCAGCAGAAACTTTGGGGAGGGGCCAGTATTGTATCAGAGACTGATATGCAAATTTATAGAATTTATACCAATAAACTACAGGCAAAGTGACTACCCATATGAAGGGGGGCCAGAACAGATCTGGGTTTTTTTACCTCTGGCTGCTGCTTCCCTGATGGGGTCTTAAAAAGTACCTGAATTACTGGGATGGGACTTGGGGTGGCTGCTTTTCCAATATTGCCTCTCAGGTCTTGCAGAATCCTTTAGCCTGGGCTTCTCCAGACAGCTGGAGCCTGTCTGAACAGCACTGTCCACCACAGTACTCTTAGTGGGGAATGGCTGCAGGTCCCACTCTGAATCAGAAGAGGGAGAAAATGGTGCCACACCTGCTGCTGCTTCTTGGTTTAGGCCTTTCAGTACTAGACGGCGTGGAGAGGGCTCCCTGCTGGACTCTGTGTCCTCAGTCTCGCTCTGAAAGACCAGAGACCTAGATGGAAGAGGCCACCGGGCATCAGCATGGGGACGGCAGCAGCAGGTGCACCACACATAGGCTGACGAACAGCACATGCCAGCACAGTGGCAGTGGAAATGTGACCAGCAGGGAGAGCAGAGCCAGCAGTGCTTGGTGAGGCCATGTACAGCACAAACGGGAATCAGGGCTGCTTTAGGACTGCAGGAAAAAATACAAGACTTGGTGTCTGGACTTTCTCTAGGCTTCACCCTGCTGGTGAAGGGCATGTGGATCATCTCTACAGTCCTCTCCCACAAGCTAGGAGGGATCCACAGAGCCACACCTCGTGGGAGCTTCACTTTCCTGTTATTCCAGAACTGGACTATAATTTCTTCATCTTCCGAGGCTGTTGAGAGAGAAGGGAAGCAGCCATAAGCAGCTGGCCTCCCTGGGCAGTGCACACACACAGGTCAGGCTTTGCAGCTTTAGGCACTTTCTACTCTTGTAAAGCAGCAGGGTCAACTATCAAACCACTCTGTAACACCTCACCATCATGCCATGGAGGCTGGAGTGGACATCTAGGGCACCAGCGGTGTGACAACACTGGCATTATCTTCCCTCCCAGTTTGTCATCAGATGAATAAGAAAATGTTGACTGAGCACCTTTGGTTGTTACCGCCGAAGTTAGCAGTAATGCTCTGAGAGTAGTGTTTTGATAAGTCAGTGGAGCTTGACTGTCAGACATGGGAAAAAATTAATGAGCTGTTGAAATCTATGTTTGGATGATAAAATCACCCCCAGATGTACCATTGAGTACAAACCTGAGCACTCAAGCACGGATGGGTGCCCCCTGAGTGCTGCCTCACTTGTATTGCTCATGAAAAGGCCACTGTCCTTCTCATGACAGACACAGCCTTGTCTGAGCAGACAGGACACAGCACATACACAGACGTGGAAAACTGCATTTTTATGGGTCACAACTTCCTTAAGGTCAGACTGGTGAGGTTATTCTCCAATATCCACCAGCAAGGCCCACTAGCTCCTGCAAGCTTTAAGCAATGCTAAACTGTAGTCTGTGCACTGGTGTTTCTCTAGCAGTAGCACCTCAACAAGAGTGTATCCTAACAGGCTCATTCATGTTCCAGGGCAAGGAGAGGAAGAAGAGGGTAGCATTTTTCTTACCTTTTAAGGGGTCCCTTGTCTCAATGCCTGTGAGAACAGTTCCTGGGCCATATCTGGCCATATCTGCTTCCCAGGGTGCCAGCACTTTGTCTCCAGGGAGTAAGGAGTGCTTCATCCCATTCACATATTCCACAATGTCATCCTTTGCTGTTTTTTGCACACATATTGGGTTCCTTCCACATGACACAAGTGGTTTGGCAAACTCTACCTGGAACATGCCTCTTTCACTCTGTTACCAGGAACAAAATAATAGTTCCTCTGAACAACAGTCCATAATGTGTCACCACCAGGAGGCTGTTCCACAGCTATGTGGCTAGGTCAAATCACCAAGCAAGCCTGAACTGTAACTAAATAGTGTGCAGTGTTAGACTGACATTGGGATAGCCTGAAAAAACCTCCATGAGGCTCACCAGAAAGCAGGCTGAGTGAAACGTGTACAGATTCACTGCCACTGGGACCCATATTTTTTTCCCCAATGGAAAAAGCTATTGAGGGAGTGCAACTGGACTTCAGAAACCATGTCATGTGCACCAGATAACATGGGACACTGAAGCCATTCAGACCTGTTCTTCAGTCATCCCCAAGTCCTTCCTCATTACACGCAACACTAACTTGGCTTCTTGGAGGGTTTGGGGGGATTTTTTATTTTCTTTTGAATTAAAGCCTGTCAAGAGGCTTTCCATCAACAATAAAGTGAGGTACTTCCCTGTTCTTGAGAAAGAATAGGCTCTTTTTTCTGTTAAGTTTGAAGTGCTAACAAACTAATGAATTAAAGCTTTCACTACCATTTCTGAAAAGCCACCAAGCCATTGGTCTGTAGCTGACTCAAGCTGGAAGTGTGTACATAAAACAGGAATGCTTTTGCTGTGCTGTTGATGGTTATAAGACTACACACAACAGGAGCTGGTACACTGCTCACAACAGCCCTCATGCCAAGCCTGGCTCAATGCCCAGTGCCAGCAGAAGCAGAGGCCCTGCTCTTCCAAGGTGTACAAAAACACTGCTCTCACCAGGAACTTGGAGTTTGGGGGCATCCATCTTCTGCACAAGATAAGGATCCCCGAGACGTGCCTGCTCAGCCCAAAAACGGACTTGGTAACAGAAGCTGAGCAAAGCAAGGATCTGATTGTTATTAATTGGTGCCTGCGGCTGCGCTGCACGCCTGAGGCCCACACAGCACGCCAGGCAGCAGGAGGTGAGGACAGCCTGGAATCAGGAACGTTGGGAGCTTTATGAATCAACATAACCATAAGCACCAGCTGTCCTGGTGATCTACTCCCTAATTCATGCACCAGCTGAAATCAGAACTGCTACACTAAACTCAGGTGGTGTGTGAGGACAGTGGGGGGACGGGACACCCTACGACACCCACCAGCAACTGCCACACAGCAACCATCACTCACCTCTATCTCCTCTTTTACTGTACCACGGTAATAAAATCCATCTTCTCCCCCTCTTACCAGCACAGGGGCATTGCTGCCTAAGCCCACTGATCTCCCTGATGTACTCAGCCTCTTCCATGCTGGGCTGGTGGAGCAGAGGCAGTGGCTAATCCATTGGCACCTTGAAGAAAAGAAAATGGGCCAGCACTGGGAGAAACACCTTCTGTTTATATCCATTGTTAATCAATATAACATACATGCTGGTTGCTGGCAGGTTCAAGTTCAAAGCATGAAAAATAATCCCATCAAAAAACATTAGAAACATTTCAAAGACGACAGCTGCTAACACAAGATTCTTTTATTTATCCAAATAATATTAAAGGAATGTTTCTTTGATGGGGGGTTTACTCAGGCTTTGCTTTTCTTAATCTCCAGGGTAGCAAACCACTTTACTCAGTACTATCTAAAAAGCTGCCAGTGCAGGAGAGGGAAAGCACTCAAAGGATGTTCGAGCTGCTCATGTATTATCTGCCATGCCAGCCTGTTTAATCCCATTAGGAATCACGAAGAAGTACTAACAACAGGCTCAAACAAGAACTTGATTTTACCTCTGGGGGCAGAAGGGCTTGGGGATGCAGGGGGGATGCACTGTGACAGAACTCCTGCAGCAGGGGCGGGCAGCAGGTACGACACTGGAGCATGAAGCCTTGTCCAGAGCTGGCACTGCACTGCAGGACCGGCGGCCCGCAGGCAGGGACCCTTCCAAGTGAGCCATTCCTGCAAAAGCAGCTACCTGCAGGACTCATTCGGGATCTGCTGCTAGAAAAAAGACAATGCACTGGCATTTTCCAACACAAGCAAATGCTTTCCAGTGTAATAATCCAAGAACTTAGCAGCTTTCATTAATTATTTTTATTTTAAAAGAATGAATGCAAAATATCCAGACTGGCATTTGGTCAGATGAACCCATACCACTGACTTCAGTGGCCTTCACTCACCCAAATCCCAGCCTGGTAGAAGCACAGAAACACCCAAGGAAACTAGAAATGCTGTGAAAATCCCCAGGAAAGAGCACTAACTTTCACCTCCCTCAAACTGTTTTCCCTCTGTAATATCCAGCTCTCTTTTCTTAAACCTACACTCTCCTTTAAAGCTTTCTTCCATGCAGTCCCTGCCAAACCTTCCCTATTTTACAAGCTGAGACAAAAACTACAGCTGAAGTTGAGAGGGTGAGCAAACGTGAGGTTTTGAACACGATGTTAGTTTACAGTTGCCTGTTACTTGCTTTATTTATAGTGATGTATTAGGAGGAAATATTTTGATTTTTCAGCTGTCATGTTTTATAAGAGCAGGATTATGGCTTGCCACGAGAAAGAATGAGATGCTTAGATTTGACAAGGGAGAACTATTCAAGGCTGTCACGATAAGGCAGATGATGTGATGCTATCTCTAGTCATCTGACAAGATGTAGCAGACAAGCTTCCATTCCTTTTTCTTTTAATTACTGCTTAGAAATGTTTATCATGCTTAGTGTAACATTTGCATGGAAATTCAACAAGCTGAACATTAAGTGCCTAATTTACTTTACAAAATACAGTTTAAGCACTCATGTTTAAATGTTAGTCTCTTATCTAAGAGATGGGATCCGAGTCCTTTTTATGAGGACTCTCAGATACCCATAATTTCAGAAAAGCACATCTTGTACAGCAAGAAGAGTGGATGAACTATTGCAAAATGTGCCTCTAAGTCAGCAAATCAACACAATACATTCACTTGTTTCACAACTACACAAACTCCCCTATTACAAATGCAAACAAGATGGAATCAGTCATACTTTGTGAAGACATGCAACTATCCATTCTGCATTACAGCAGAACATTTTAAACCCTTTCAGTGCTGTTACTGCTGAGAGCCAAAAGACCTATTTCTGCATAAAACAGGCTACTAACAAAGACAATTGCACAAAAAGAAAATATTTTTCTCTGGATAGCTGCAAGTACTTCAACAGAGCAGTGTTTCAAACTTACCAGCTATTGATAACACTACAGCTGGTCCCTTTGGCTTTAGTCCCAGGGCAGGAATCTTGCCCTTCTGCCCGTTTAATGCAGGAAGCCGTTTGCTGTCAGTGTTTCCTGGTTACTAGGGAGGTTGCCACAGTTCCAGCTACCAGGATGGGACATCCTGACCTTACTGGTTAAAAACCAGTGGAACGTGACTACACAAAGAGGATCATTTGTCTGCCAGGCATCTGCTCACACTAGAAGAATGCAGGGGCAGAGGAGGGGTTATGAGAGGGCGCAGTGTCCCCTAGGTTTTCTGCCTACTATTGCAAGACAAAATACAGCAGTTCAGATTTAGAGGAAAAAAAAAACCCTCCACGACGAGGTGTGGCAAATAAATTGGTTTGAAATGCAGACAGAAAGGTTGAAGCCGAGACAAACTGAGGTCAAATTGCTTTACAAACTTCCCCTTTTCACAGTAAAGTGTAAGGATTAATGCATTGCCCCCCTTTCCTGCAAAGTGCATATCAAAAAGATGCCAGGATAAAATGCAGAAATCTGTTAATCTCTGCTGTGATCCCTAATCTTAAATATTTTTGCCTTAAAAGTTAAGGGTTGTTTTTTTTTTTTTTTTTTTTTGGGGGGGTGAAGTAGCAGGGAGAAATATTTAATTGCTTTTCATAGGCATTTTTCAATTTCTTGCTATAAAAACAAGGTATAAGAGGTTATAACAATTAGGGACAAGGATACAGCACTTTGGAAGTCTGTAACCCCTTTCTGTACATTCTGTGGCACCCACAGAGTACCTGCTCTCATACTGTCAGCAGAATTAATATCAATAATACGGTTCCCTTACACACTACAAATGTTAAGACACTTTGCCAGTTATGAGCTAACTCTCTTCACCACCTTCACATAAATTTATTTTATACTTAGCTGAAACCATCAATAGCACAGAGGAACAGAGTGGGATGTCAGGGAAGACCACTTCAGACCTCAACCATTATCAGTAAAAGTCCCCAAAATTTTTTATTGCAAGATGCATTTTTTCCCCCCAATCCTCTCTATACTGTGTATTGTGTGAGCAGTCCCACTAATTTTTAAGGACACTGTCAGATGAAGAAGAATACAATTTTCATAAGAAATTAGGCTAAGTCAACAGTTTTTAATGGGATTAAAATATTCATGAATAAGCAAAGGATGGAACAGCACTTGCGAGACGTTATGCACTTCCTATGTTCAGCAACTGCCCGAGGGAGCTACTCCCCTCCTGCTATCCTCCTCCTTTTAAACTAACTTATCCTTTCTGCAGGCAGCTAACAACATTCCTGGACACCTTTTAAAAGGCCTTTTAAGAGAAACACTGAGACCAAAAATCTTTTAAGAAAGTACATGTCAAAGCAAATCAGTAACAGTACAGAAAATGAGAGGAATCTCAGTCCCAGCAGTGGAAAGATTTTATTCTGGAGCACGCAGGTGGTGAGGATACATACGGTTACCTCACACATGTATTACATTGTTGTTATTACATCAATTTTAGAAATGTTTTCCCATTTCCATGAAATAACTATCTCAGGCCAGTAAGATTAGATTTCCTCAGTTGTCTTTTTCATATCTAAGAATAGCTACAACCTGAAAAATTAGAACTCTTTTATGTGGACTGGTATTGATGTGTGCTATGATTTGCTCTTAAGGTGTGCCAGGAACGTGCACATTAATACTACACCAGCTACTAGGTTCCCAGACAGGATTCTTTTGCTTGGTTTGGAACAGTTTAGATCGTCTTCAAAAACTGGTTTTGTTTGTTAATTGCTTTAGGTGCTGGGCTTGGCTCCACAGCACTTTTTTCTGCCACCACAGAATCGCCGTGCAGAACAGCCTGCAGGTAGCTGATGTATTTTATCGCAGCACGGAGCGTCTCTACTTTGCTGAGCCGTTTCTCCAAGTACTCCTTAGGCAAGTGATGCCTCAGTTTAGCATAGCCTTCATTGACACATTTAACCCTCTGTCTTTCCCTCTCATTCCTCTTTCTGATGAAAGCTGGCCCATAGGAGTATTCACTTCTGT